TCTGGTTAGCAGTCAAGTGCCTTAGCCACTATGCTACCAGAGCTCCCAAAAATTTGTCTATAGAAAGATAATTGGTTTGGGTGGGGCCCTTTGCACATTTAGCCTTGTTCCTAAAGGAGCACCTTTGATTGAAACCTACCGGCTTAGTTTCCGCAGAATTTTCCTGGACCTTTCTCAGAGATGGTTCAATTCTGTAAAGTATGGATTCTTAAATTTGCTCAGGAAAGACCACAAGTGGCTATAAGATTTTCAGAGTTTTTTCACTTAGTATGTATCCCTGTAATTATTTGATTGGCCAGAGATTTTTTATAATCCTGAATACTCATCCGGCAACCAGAAATGGTGATGGGGTGTGCATGCAGATTCAGAAATGTTGTACCTTAGATGCCGTTCGGCTGAGCTCCACTGCAATGTCCCCTCCAGTGTTGCCAAGACCGATTACTAAGACACGTTTGCCCTGAAAGCCTTCTGGGATCTTGTACTCTTGACTGTGTAGGATCTGGCCTTCAAATTTATGGATTCCTGAGGGGAGGAAAGGATTTGAAAATTAGAACTATCTAGAGCTATAATTCTTCAATATGCACGGATAGAGTTTGTGGAACAAGGGGGAGGGGGGTCTCAGACACATGGCAGCCATTTCCCCTGCCACTAGTGGCAGGCAGTAGAATCAGCATATGATCTTCATCTGTCATTTGATGCCCAGAGAGAGATTTAGTACAAACCTGTCTTGGTAAATTTTCCACTTTAGAAAATTATGGATAACATTATGAAGAGTGAGAACTCCAGAACACTTAACTGTGCTCATGCAGAACCTGTACAAAGATCAAGAGGCAGCCATTTGAACAGAACAAGGGGAAACAGCATTGTTTAAAACCAGAAAAGTTGTACATCAGGGTTGTATCCTTCCACTACACTCATTCAATATGTATGCTGAGCAAGTAATCTGAGAAGCTGGAGTAAATGAAGAAGAATTTGGCATCAGGATTGGATCATTCACAACCTGTGATATGCAGATAACACAACCTGCTTGCTGAAAGTGAAGAGGACTTTGAAGCACTTATGATGAAGATAGAGACTACAGCTGTGGTGGTTATGTTTGTGTGTCAACTTGGCTTGGCCTGGTTGAGTGGCAGGGCAGCTGGTGGTAGTTATTCCCCATGATGAGACTGTCAATCAACTCCATGATGGGATCTACCACAAGCAGCTAAGTAGCTGCTTTGGGTATGTGGTCAGCTTCCTGTATAAGAAGCAGCTTTGGGAAAGGTCTCTAGCCTATGGCACGCTTGGACCCTGCATGTAGCCATGTCGTTGCTCAGCAGCCTGCTATGCTCTGCCAACCTTGGGACTTACAATGGACTTAAGTTAATGGCCTGCTGTGTGGTTTGGTAACATCGGACTGTGCCTTTTTACTTGTCAACCTTGGGGCTCTCAGCCTCAGCAGCCAGCAGCTGTCTGAGTGAAGAAACATCTTTGCTCCAGTGGGCCAGAAGCAGGAGGTAGAGCTGGACCCCAAGGTTGAGGGGCTTTCAGCCAGCTCCTAGAGCCTAGCAACTTTGATCTTGGACTTAAAAC